GAGAGTAGGAGAGGGAGGGAGGGGGAGAGAAAGAGAAAGTGAGAAAGCAAGCCCCCAGGTCTGGAACTCTAACCACAGCCAGCCATGTACCCAGTGCTCCCAACCTCCACGCCTCCTGCCAGTCCCTAATTCAATCTTGATAGATTATGTGTGTCCAGAAATGTGTCCATCTCATCTAGGGTTTTTTGCTATTTTGGCATTTGGTCGCTGATATTCTTTTCTCATGATCTTTTTTATTTCTGTTACTTCTGTTGTTATATATCACCTGTTTGGTTGCTGATTTTATTGATCGTGTTCCTCTCTGTGTTCTTTTTGATTAGTCTAGTTAATGGTGTGCCAATGTTATTTATCTCCTGAAAGAATTAGCTTTTGGTTTCATTTATTTCTCTATAGTTCTTTTATTCTTTATTTCACTTCTGCTCTAGTCTTTATTATTTCTTTCCTACTAGTATTTTGAGGGTTCTTTTGTTGTTTTTCCAGATCCTTGAGATGTTGTCTATCTGCTACCTTCTTGTTTTTTTCTAGTGAGTACTAATTGCTGTGAATTACATTCTTGTGACTGTTTCTTATGTTTTCCATTAGTTATGGATATTTGCTTATTATCATTGGTTTCAATGGATCTTTTGATTTCAGTCTTAATTTCTTCAGTGGTTGTGATCTCATTGAAGAGCAGGTTGTTTAATATCCATGTATTTATATATATATATATATTTTTAGGGTTCTTTCTGTAATCTATTTGAAGTTTAATTTCCTTGTGATCAGAAAAGATACTGGATATAGTTTCCATACACTTGAATTTGTAATGGGTTGTTTTGTGTCTGATCATTTGGTCATTTTTTTTTTTTTTTGAGAGGGTTTGGTTTTTTTTTAGAGAGAGAGAGAGATTATTTCTATAGGGTGCATACACTTGCCAGAAAGACAGAGAGAGACTGACAGACAGAAAGTGACAAATCATCCCCCAGGGGGATGGCCACGCTGCAATCCCTTCTCCTCTATTCTCCTCTCGGGATCTTGGGCATGCACAGACATGTGCCTGGCGTGAGTTTAAGTCACTGGGTCTGGGATTCGAACCACGGTCAACTACGTGCGAGTCCAGCAACATAGCCATTATGACAACTACTGATCCCATCATTGGTCAATCTTTGAACGTGTTCCATTTGGGACTAAAAAAAAATGTATGTTTTCTGGCTGTTGAGTGAAATTTTCTATAGCTGTCTGTGAAATTCATTTCATTTAAATCCTATAGCTCTTTTCTTTTTCCTTGATGACCTGTGCAGAGGAGATAGTGGAGTGTTGAGATCCTCAACAATAAGTGGATAGCACACACACTCTGTCTTTAGATCTACCAATCTTTCTTTCATGTATTTGGGTACTCTAGCTTTGGATACACAAATATTTATAACTGTTATATCTTGGTGGAATTGCACTTTTAGGTACTGTATAGTGTCCTTCTTTTTCTCTTCCAACAGTTTTTACCTTGAAGTCTTTTAGTCTGATATTAGTATTGTGATTCCAGCTTTTTTTGGGGGGGTTACTTTTCCTTGGAATATCTTTTTCCAGCCCTTTACTTTCAGTCTATGTTTGTCTTCATCAGAGAGGTGTGTTTCTTGTAGGCAGCATATAGAGAGCTCCTGTGTTTTAATCCATTTAGCCAGTCTGTGTCTTATTTGGAGAATTTAGTCCATTAACATTCAACATTATTATTGGTATTTATGGACGTGTCCCCATCCTTTTGTTAGCCATTTTCTTGTTGCTTTTTGGTTCTCTTATTTCTATTTGTCTCTTTTTAGTTTTCCTGATATAATACTCCCTTCAGTACTTCTTGAAAAGCTGGCCTTGCTTTCATACATTCTTGGGTTTTTGTTTATCTGAGGATGTTTTTATTTCTTCTTCCCATTTGAAGGATAATATTGCCAGGTAGAGTATTCTTGGTTGGAATTACTTTTCTTTTAGACTTTTGAACATGTCTTCCCATTCTTTTTTTTTTTTTTGCCCCCATCATTTCAGCTGAGAGATTTGCTGTTAGCCTGAGGATAGCTTTTGTACATAACCTGATACTTCTCTCCTGCCATTTTTAGAATCTCATCTTTGTCTTTGATTTTTACCCAGTCTGAGTATGATGTGCCATGGAGAGGATCATTTTGTGTTGACTCTATCTGGTGTACTTTGTTTCCTGGATTTCATATCTTTATATTTCTCTAGATTTGGGAAGTTTTCACGTAGTATTTTCCAAGAGAGGTTTTCTATGTCTTAACCAGCTTCATCACCTTCTGGAATTCCCATTATATGAATATTTGGGAGTTTAATGGTGTCTAATATTTGCCATATGTTATCCTAATTTTGGTGAGTTACTTTTTCATTCCTTTTTAAAAATGAATTATTTAATTTTAATTATTATTATTTTTAAAATTTGCTACAAGGTATGTGTGGTTATGAGAGAGAGAAAATGATAAAGTAAGCTGCTAAGTCTGGGACTTGAATCATGGTAGGCTGTGTAGTAGTCCAGTGCTTTAACCACCACAATACCTACTGACCCTATTTTTTCATTCTTTTTTATGGTTTGGACTAAGTCAAGTCTTTTTTTCCTGATGCAAGATTCTTTCTTCTGTGTGGTCCAATTTGCTCTTGATGCTTTCAAGGGAGATTTTGATTTCTTGCACTATGTTCTTCATCTCTGGAAGTTCGGTTTGATCCTTTTCTAGGGTGTCTTTCTCTTTATGAAATTCCTCCTTCATGTCATAAAATAACTTTCTAATCTTCTGGACATGGTTGTCTGTTTTCTCTTGTACCTCATTGGGTTTTGGGTTTTGTTAGAATGAATACTCTGAATTCTATTTCTGTGATTCTTATGTTATTTTTATTGTTGGTGAGGAATTGCTGCGTTTTTTTTTTTTTTTCTTTTTGTGGGGGGAGATATACTTCCTGATTTTCTCCTCTTTCTTGAGTCTCTATATTGTTTCATAGACATTTGGTGAGGTCCTTATTTTTTCTTATTTGGGGGTAGACTTCTGGGATTGAATGCTTATGTACTTCTCTTTAGTATACTTTAGGTACACAAAGTTTCCCTCTTATTTCCAAAATTTCCTAATTTTTTTAAAGAAATTATTTTATTTAACTTTATTTATTCATTTATTTTAATTTGACTAGAGAGGAACAGAGAGAGAGAGAGAAAGAAAGTGAGATAGCAAGCTGCCAGGTTTGAGACTTGAACTGTAGTTGGCCATGTGGAAGTCCAGCATGATTTATTTTATTTATAAATGTATTAAAATGAAAATATGATCCGGGCTGATATATTGTCATATAGTTTTTTATTAATTTTTCTTTGATTTTAAAAGACAAAAAATAATATGTTTTTAAGAGGTCCTGAAAGTATTGCTGGCACTCGGCACTATGTCTGCTGTGCTTAATAGGCAATGGCTTTGATCACTGAATATAAAATAGTCTTATCTTTTCAGTATGGTTGAAAACCTTTCAACAGTTGGATATAACTCTCTAGATTTCAAATCCCATGTAAAATTCCATGTTATACATTACATTATCCTTAATTGCTCTGAATTTATATACCTAGTCAACAATTATTATGAAATAAACTCTCTTATTCTTCTATGGTAGTCACAGTAGCCTCTTCCTTCTTCTTCTCCCCTTCTCTTCTTCCTCTGTCTTCTTCCCTCCTCCTTCTTATCCTTTCTTCTTCTTTTTTTTTTTTTAAATTTGCCATAGAGAGACACAGTGAAAGAAAGAGTGAAAGGAAGCACCTTCCATAGAGCCTGGTCAAGCCACAATCTCTCCTCCTCCATTTCTATATCCTGTTGGGATTTGGGACATATATGCACATGCCTAGCATGTTTTCCAAGCTGCTGTGGACAGAACTCAGACTACATAGTCAACCATGTGGGATCTAGCTCCTTTAACCACCAGGTCATGGGGTGGCCCTAAATATAAATATTTTGAGAAAACTTTTTATGTTAACAGAACAATTATTATTTGTCAGATAAAACATCTCAGATTTATCAGTAATATTTTATTCTATTTTATTTTATTCTTCATAATAATTCAGGTTTAATGTAAGGATATTTATTTATAAAACTGGTCAGTCTTGGGACCAGCAGTTGGTGTAATGGCTATGTTGCTGGACTTCCATGTGGTCGACCACAGTTTGAGTCCTGGACCCGGTGACTTAAACTCATGCCGGGCTCATGTGCATGCATGCCCAAGATCCCAAGAGGAGAATGGAGAAGAAAAGATTGCGGCATGGCCATCCCCCGCTGGGGTGGTGGGGGGGTGATTTCTTGCTTTCTGTCTCTCTGTCTTTCTGGCGAGCACACATGCCCTATAGCAAAAAACTCTAAAAACGAAAAACAAAAAACAAACAAACAAAAAAACCCAAAAAAGCAAAACTGGTCAGTCTACTTGTAGTGATTAATTTAATTTTTATTTTGCAATAAGTTTTTATTCTATGTCAAAATTTCTAAAAAATGTTTTCTATGTTGAATATTCATAGACATACTACAATTGCTCTTGCGTTAAAGAGGGATTAGTTACTGCAGATGAAGATGGTGATTTTATTGATGCCCGAGCTGGGAAATGTGATGCAAAGTGCTATAAATTACCTTTGTTCATTGCTTTTATCTTTTCTACAATTGTATTCACTGGCTTCTCTGGTGTACCAGTCACTCTGGCTATTTTACGGTATGTATACATTATTCATAATTCTTATCCATTTTGTATTAAGAAAAATAATTTCAGGAAGATTTCAGAATATAATAATTTTCTCTGTGTCTTATGATAGCAAGTGAAGAGAAAATTTTACATGGTCGACCTTGATGAATAGTTTGTTTAAAAAAATAATTTGCATAAAGTAGGTAGATCACATATAAATTTAACTTTCACTTAAAAATAAATGTATTTACTTCATTTAACACATATAGAAAATCAGATATAAGAAAAGTATTATTTATAGTACTGATATGATTACAATAATTCATTGACCGTAGGTATTAATTGACTGTTTACTTTTATGTGAGTCAATTAGACTATAAGAAAAATCAGAGAACCAGCAGTTAGCATAATGGCTATGTCACTGGACTCCCACATAGTTGACCGTGGTTCGCGTCCCAGACCCAGTGGCTTAAAACTCACACTGGTCGCGTGTGCATGTGCGCCCAAGATCCCGAGAGGAGAATGGAGGAGAAGGGATTGTGGCGTGACCATCCCCCCGGGGGGTGATTTCTCGCTTTCTGTCTCTATGTCTCTCTCTGTCTGTCTGGCGAGCGCACGCGCCCTATAGTGAAAATTTCTCCAAAAAAATATAAATAAATAAAGACAAAAGAAAAATCAGTATCCTCAATAAAGAACATAACTTTCAGAATTTCAGCACCTAAATATATTATTATTATATGTAGATCTGACATTTGATAAGCATGTGCTCTGAATACATAAAATCTATTGATACTTAATATTCATTTTCCTCATAGTAAAAGAATACGTTGGTAATTATTTTCAAGAGTCTCAAAAGGTTTAAGTCATCAATTTTTTCCTCCATTTCTCCCTTCAAGATTTTGCACATGTGCATAAACACACACGCAGACTCAACTTGTGCCCAGCATGTATTGACTCCAGTGGATCCAAGACTGACTGCATAGTCAGCCATGTGGGATCTGGCTCTTTTAACTGCCAGGTCATGAGGTTGGCCATAAATACAAATATTTTGAGAAAACTTTTTAAGTTGATAGAACAATTATTATTTGTCAGGTAAAATATCTCAGATTTATCAGTAATATCTTATTCTATTATATTTTATTCTGCACAATAACTCAGGTCTAATGTGCTCACCAAAGAGAGACAGAGAGAGAGAGGAGGAAGCACTTTTCATGGGGAATGGTCATGTTGCATTCCCTTCTTCTTCATTTCTTTCTTTTCAGGATTTTGGGCATATATGAACCATGCAACTGTGTGCAAACTTCCTGCTCCAGAATTCGAACTGCACAGTCGGCCTTGTGGAATCTGGGTGTTTTTACCACCAGGCCACAGTGCTGGCCCCACATTTTAAATTTATTTTCCAAACTACTAGTATGTGTTGCTACATGTTATTTTTCTTTTTTCAATTAACAACTTAGTTGGATCATTAGAAAATACAGAGATTCTCTTTCTTTATATTTGGGAAAATAATTTTTCATTTATTTTAGCGTTTAAATAGTGAGTGTAAAGTTCATTAAGTTTAACAGGAAAGAGATGGCACCCTCAACTTAAGACAATTTAATTAATCTGTCATAAAGTGGCTATTTAAAGTGTGGACAAGTGTAAAGAATCCCAGGGATTAGCACAGTCTACCCCTGGTATGTCACCACTGCAGGTCCAAAGAGAGAGAAGGAATGGGAATGAGAGGGATCTGTAGAGAAAACTACCTTCTCTATGAATCCAGGAAGCCTAAGGTAATTTCAGGAGAGGAGCCTTGGAATGAAGGCCTTGATCTCACTTTTCTCCCTCACTCAGAAAACACCATTGGCAGCACCTGGTCAGGAGTTACAAGGGAAGGGGACCAGCAGTTAGCGTAATGGCTATGTCGCTGAACTCCCATGTAGTCAACCGTGATTTGAGTCTCAGACTCGGTGGCTTAAATTCACTCTGGGTGCGTGTGTGTGCATGCCCAAGATCCTGAGAGGAGAATGGAGGAGAAGGGATTGAGGCATGGCTATCCCTCCTGGGGTGGTGATTTCTCGCTTTCTGTCTCTCTGTCTCTTTCTGGTAAGCGCATACGCCCTATAGCAAAAACCTCTCCACCCCCCCACCCCCCAAAAAAAGAAGTTACAAGGGAAGATAGCCTACGGATATAGTCCATTTAAGCCAAACTTCCAGGGCTGAGAACTAGGTAGAAAACAGTGGAGACAGATTTTACAGAAGCAAAGTGGTGTACATGAGAGAATGAAGAAACATGAATGTGAAAGCTAGGGCTGAGTGACTTTTAGCAAAGAGAAAGGAGGCTGGAGCAGAGGCTTGGGCCATAAAATCCTCCCTACTGATGAAGAATGAGGAGCTTTGCCATTGGTTGGTAAATGTGAAGAATTGAGAGGAGCTGCCACCTGTCCATTGGTCAAAATGAACTCTGTCAAATTTGCTAAGGATTCCTAGTGTAACTAGTGTAGTAGACAAAATTAACTTTGAACGTAGATACATTCTCTATAGCTAATGATAATGTGCTGATGATGTATCATTGCTATTTGCTTTCAGGATTGTTCCTAACAAACTACATTCTGTGGCCTTGGGTATAACTTTTGTGATTCTGAGAATATTTGGTATGGATTTTTGGCAATCTTTTGTTATATAAAATTGTTCCTTTTTCATATGTATGTTTAGAATTACAAATAATAATAGTTAAGTGACACAAAACAGGTGGATGGGAATCTTTGCAAAGCAGTTATGTAAAGAGAGAATATCTAGCATAAAGCTCTTCTTAACTGTCATACAAACGTGCATCACATTTGATCAGAAAACAATCTATTTGATCTGTGGCATATTTATATCTCATAGAAGTGGTTTAGTAAGCTGATAAAATACACTTGTTATAAGTACAAAAACTAGATATTGCTTGTATGTTTTAGAAGTCTCTAAGCAAGACTAGTTAAACATTTTCATCAACAAAGATACCACATCTGATTATTAAATGATTTATTTGTTCCAAAGAGCAAAATAATTTCTCTGAGAATATTGTGCTCTTTTCTTTGGACTTTTTTAAATAACAAAAACTAGATTTCAGATGTTCACTATTATTATATTTAGAATCCCTAATTCAAGAATTTTATTAAAATGATTTACAAAGTAGTCCACTGATGGTGGCACAGGTGGGAGAGCCCCCTGTACCATAGCTGAGGCCCTATGAGAGGTCTGGGTTCAGTTCCTGGCAAGGCACTGTGGCGTGTGCCTATAGTCCTCCCGAATGTGGGGCCTGAGGCAGAGGGAGAGGCTGTTGAATATACTTATCATGCACACTCTCTTTCTCTTCCCCTCCTGTACTCTCTCTTCCATAAAAATGTATATTTTATGTACACATATATAAAACAGGTATTATTTTACATGTATTTATGTATATATATATATATATATGTATCTGTGTGTGTGTGTATAAATATATAATGCATATATGTGTGTGTGTATCAGTAAAACAGAAACAAAATTGGACTGGACTGAAGACTGAAAAGCATATGATTAAAAAAAATAATACAGAAATGTTTGAGCCATCCCTGTAGCACAGTAATTAAGCACAGTGCATGAGGAGTCAGATCCCTCATCGTCAACTGCAGTTTGAATCTAAACCTAGTAGCTTGAAAAACATTCCAGCGCATGTGCTTGCACGCTCCAAATCCTGATAGGAAGAAGAAGCGCAGGGGAAAAGATTGTGGTATGACCACCCTCTATTAGGGCATGTTTCCTTGTGTTCTCTCTCTCATGCTCGCTCTCTTTCTCTCTCTCTTTCTCTATCTCTCTTGCAAGCACATGAGCTCTCTCATAGTTAAAAAGTTTTTTTTGTTTTTTGTTTTTGTTTTTTATAAATGTAGAAAAACCTAAGAGTTGGCACTGATGGAGATCAAAGAAATCATTCTACAGTGAAATCAAAATATGCAACTAAAGTTAGCCTTTTAACTATTAAGAAATACTTACAGCAGATAAAAATGGAGAAAAAGAATAGGGAGGCTTTTGCGGTGCTCCTAACAGTCATGTTAGATTGGCTTCTGGGGTCGTAGCGAAGATATAAGTCAACACAGCCAAGATAAGTTTGGAGTTAGTGTTACAAAGACAAGTGATGGGTTGGGAAAAGATGGTGAGAAATGGGAAAAGGGAATAGTAGGCCTAGGTTTTTACCTTGAGCAGCTCTAGAAAGAATGCCATCATTCACCAACTGCAGAAATCAAGGTATTGGCTGCAGACAGAAAGCAAGAGCTGTGAGGCCAGAAAGAGGGCCCTGATCATTTCCTAAGGAGATTCGTAAACCATTAATGATTTTAATTCTGAAAACTCGTTCATTCACTCTGAGCTGAAAGTGACATGCTCCCTGAGGAGACGCTCTCTCTGAACGTATACAGACATTTTCCTCAGGCAGTAAAGACAGTTCTCTGTATCTGACGTCATCTGAATCTAAGATTACTACGCACACACCAAAACATTGCATTTTCAGTTATTTTTCTCAATATCTTGAGAAATTATAGACACACACATACACACACACATGCACACACACACACACATACACACACGAAGGAACTTCAGAAAGTAATGGAAAATGGAATTAAAGAATGAGTTTATTTTGGCGCAAAATATTTTTGAAATCTAAGCATAGCTTTTTTTTTTATAATATGCATTTTCCATACACTGAAGACCCTGCATAACTCATTTTTCAGTCACTGACAATTTCACAGAGATCTTTGAAGGCACATGAGGTTTACAAAATCAATATTTAGTATCTCTGTTTTAAATATTTTCTTCCAAATTTCTCATGCAAAAATCAACAAAAAATGTAAGACGCCATCTAAATAACCAAATATATAGTATTCTTAAAAAAAAAAAAACAAATGTAAATGTTCTATACAAACAAGCATAAGACATCTTTGGAAAACACAGAGTTTTCCGTGGTGAACAATTTCATTTATAAATAAATTACTAGATAATTGAAATGGTGTGTTTAGAGTGATGCTTTCATGAAGAATGAACAATCTCTGCATTTTTTTATAGGGACTATGCCTGCGCCATCCATTTTTAAAATGACAATAGAATCTTCTTGTATCTTTCGGGATGATAATCAATGCGGACGGACAGGAAATTGTTGGATCTATAACAAGACAAGAATGATCTACACATTTGTAGGAATGTGTAAGTGATATCTATTGAGGAAATGTACATAAGTAACATTTTTTTAAAAAGTTACAGTTGTTGGGTACAGCAGGTGGCGTGGTGGTTAAGGGGCTGGATTCCCACATGACTGACTGTAGCTCAAGTCCTAAACCTGGTTGCTTGAAAATCACAGCAGGCACATGTGCATATATGCATAGAATCTCAGGAGGAAAATGAAGAAGGGACAACGGGGGCATGACCATCCCTCTTGGGGGATGACTTCCTACTTTCTCTCTCACGATCTCTCTCTGTCTCTCTCTGGTGAGCGCAAGCACCCTATAGCAAAAACTTTAAAATAAATAAATACATAAAAGGTATGATTGTTTATAGTACGACAGTGATGATAAAGTATGAGCAAATATATGTTGATAATTAAAGGAGGCCTGTATAATTACACAGGAGATATTGTGGAAGAAAAAATGTCCTAGAATTCAGGTAGTATCCGAGTCACTGAATTAAATGCACAATAGTTTGTTATTCCAAACAAATAGTAATAATTAGCAGAATTTTAATTTGGAAAGTAATTTTACCTGCATATATGACCAATTGCTTGATCTTGTGGTCTTTTCCATTCTACACTAAAAAATAAATAAATAAATAAATTTGAGCAACATTTTTACACCAGTAAAGAGCCTCAAGGTATTCTTATCCTGATTAAATGTAAACTTCCCATTTTCTCTTTCATCTAATGATGTAAAAGTACTTGGAACATAGCAGTGTTAAATTTGTTGAATACATAAGAGACACAGGGAATTGAGACACTATGGTGAAAGTTTATATTACTTTGGAAAATCCACTGGATCTTAATTTATTCATTTGTTAAATGAGGAAATGGTATTACACAATTTCTGAAGCCTTACTCACCATAAGTATTCAATGATTTTATTGCTTAAGTACATGTTGTGTGATAAATATTTATTTATTTAAATTATTGTATTATTACATTATATAATATTACCTTTTAAAGAAGCTGAGAAGAGAAAAGCAAGTATATACTTACAGCATTTCTTATATTACCTTTTTCTTACCATCTCTAAATCTTTCCTTTAAATTCTAGTTATCAATTCGTGTCATTTCTTCAGTCCGATACACTTTTCCCCATTCACCTTCTTTGTACTGTTGTTGGCAGGAGTATGTTGAAAAGGGAACTCTTTTACACTGCTGGTGGGAATGTAAATTAGTCCAGCCACTGTGGAGAATAATTTAGAGATCCCTCAAAAATCTACAAATAGAATTACCATTTGATCTGGCAGTCCCACTCCTTGGTATCTATCCAAAGGACAGAAGAATTCTTCATCAGAAAAGTGCTTGCACATAGATTTTTATTGCGGCACTATTCATGATTGCTAAGACATGGAACCAACCCAAATGCCCCTGTACAGATGAATGGATTGAAAAACTGTGGCACATATTCTCTATGGAATAGTATTCATCTATTAAAAAAACCAAAACCCTCGCTTTTGACAAAGTGGAAGAATATGTAAGATTTACTACTGAATGAAGCAAGCCAAGCTATGAAGGAGAGACATTGTATGTCCCCACTAAATATATACCGAATGTCCACACTCTGTGACTGAAAACGATTGACTAAAGGATGTACAAACACAAGAGATGGGTGTGAATGTCAGATGTTGGGTGTGTGGAGGAGTGGGGCCTGGGTAAGGACATTTGGAGGAGGGATATAGAGGCAGAGAATTGATGGGACAGGGAGGTGTGGTGTTATCTGTTGAAGATATTTTGATCAACTGGACTAGGGAGAAATGTTCACATATTGAAATGTTCACTTTGTAAGCTAAATAATGTGATTGAATAAAAAAATAAAAATAAGTAAATAAAATAAAAAAAAGAAGCATAGTGGCTAGCCATCGGATGTTAACAGCGACAAATTGAGAGCAATCATCAAAGCTGATCCTCTTACAACTACACAAGGAATTGCTGAAAAACTCAGCATCAACCATTCTATGATTATGTGGTTGAGAAATTATAGACACACACATACACACACACATGCACACACACACACACATACACACACGAAGGAACTTCAGAAAGTAATGGAAAATGGAATTAAAGAATGAGTTTATTTTGGCGCAAAATATTTTTGAAATCTAAGCATAGCTTTTTTTTTTATAATATGCATTTTCCATACACTGAAGACCCTGCATAACTCATTTTTCAGTCACTGACAATTTCACAGAGATCTTTGAAGGCACATGAGGTTTACAAAATCAATATTTAGTATCTCTGTTTTAAATATTTTCTTCCAAATTTCTCATGCAAAAATCAACAAAAAATGTAAGACGCCATCTAAATAACCAAATATATAGTATTCTTAAAAAAAAAAAAACAAATGTAAATGTTCTATACAAACAAGCATAAGACATCTTTGGAAAACACAGAGTTTTCCGTGGTGAACAATTTCATTTATAAATAAATTACTAGATAATTGAAATGGTGTGTTTAGAGTGATGCTTTCATGAAGAATGAACAATCTCTGCATTTTTTTATAGGGACTATGCCTGCGCCATCCATTTTTAAAATGACAATAGAATCTTCTTGTATCTTTCGGGATGATAATCAATGCGGACGGACAGGAAATTGTTGGATCTATAACAAGACAAGAATGATCTACACATTTGTAGGAATGTGTAAGTGATATCTATTGAGGAAATGTACATAAGTAACATTTTTTTAAAAAGTTACAGTTGTTGGGTACAGCAGGTGGCGTGGTGGTTAAGGGGCTGGATTCCCACATGACTGACTGTAGCTCAAGTCCTAAACCTGGTTGCTTGAAAATCACAGCAGGCACATGTGCATATATGCATAGAATCTCAGGAGGAAAATGGAGAAGAAGGGACGGGGGCATGACCATCCCTCTTGGGGGATGACTTCCTACTTTCTCTCTCACGATCTCTCTCTGTCTCTCTCTGGTGAGCGCAAGCACCCTATAGCAAAAACTTTAAAATAAATAAATACATAAAAGGTATGATTGTTTATAGTACGACAGTGATGATAAAGTATGAGCAAATATATGTTGATAATTAAAGGAGGCCTGTATAATTACACAGGAGATATTGTGGAAGAAAAAATGTCCTAGAATTCAGGTAGTATCCGAGTCACTGAATTAAATGCACAATAGTTTGTTATTCCAAACAAATAGTAATAATTAGCAGAATTTTAATTTGGAAAGTAATTTTACCTGCATATATGACCAATTGCTTGATCTTGTGGTCTTTTCCATTCTACACTAAAAAATAAATAAATAAATAAATTTGAGCAACATTTTTACACCAGTAAAGAGCCTCAAGGTATTCTTATCCTGATTAAATGTAAACTTCCCATTTTCTCTTTCATCTAATGATGTAAAAGTACTTGGAACATAGCAGTGTTAAATTTGTTGAATACATAAGAGACACAGGGAATTGAGACACTATGGTGAAAGTTTATATTACTTTGGAAAATCCACTGGATCTTAATTTATTCATTTGTTAAATGAGGAAATGGTATTACACAATTTCTGAAGCCTTACTCACCATAAGTATTCAATGATTTTATTGCTTAAGTACATGTTGTGTGATAAATATTTATTTATTTAAATTATTGTATTATTACATTATATAATATTACCTTTTAAAGAAGCTGAGAAGAGAAAAGCAAGTATATACTTACAGCATTTCTTATATTACCTTTTTCTTACCATCTCTAAATCTTTCCTTTAAATTCTAGTTATCAATTCGTGTCATTTCTTCAGTCCGATACACTTTTCCCCATTCACCTTCTTTGTACTGTTGTTGGCAGGAGTATGTTGAAAAGGGAACTCTTTTACACTGCTGGTGGGAATGTAAATTAGTCCAGCCACTGTGGAGAATAATTTAGAGATCCCTCAAAAATCTACAAATAGAATTACCATTTGATCTGGCAGTCCCACTCCTTGGTATCTATCCAAAGGACAGAAGAATTCTTCATCAGAAAAGTGCTTGCACATAGATTTTTATTGCGGCACTATTCATGATTGCTAAGACATGGAACCAACCCAAATGCCCCTGTACAGATGAATGGATTGAAAAACTGTGGCACATATTCTCTATGGAATAGTATTCATCTATTAAAAAAACCAAAACCCTCGCTTTTGACAAAGTGGAAGAATATGTAAGATTTACTACTGAATGAAGCAAGCCAAGCTATGAAGGAGAGACATTGTATGTCCCCACTAAATATATACCGAATGTCCACACTCTGTGACTGAAAACGATTGACTAAAGGATGTACAAACACAAGAGATGGGTGTGAATGTCAGATGTTGGGTGTGTGGAGGAGTGGGGCCTGGGTAAGGACATTTGGAGGAGGGATATAGAGGCAGAGAATTGATGGGACAGGGAGGTGTGGTGTTATCTGTTGAAGATATTTTGATCAACTGGACTAGGGAGAAATGTTCACATATTGAAATGTTCACTTTGTAAGCTAAATAATGTGATTGAATAAAAAAATAAAAATAAGTAAATAAAATAAAAAAAAGAAGCATAGTGGCTAGCCATCGGATGTTAACAGCGACAAATTGAGAGCAATCATCAAAGCTGATCCTCTTACAACTACACAAGGAATTGCTGAAAAACTCAGCATCAACCATTCTATGATTATGTGGCCTTTGAAGCAAATTGGAAAGGTGAAAAAGCTCAGTAAATGGGTACTTCATGAGCTGATCAAGAAAAGAAATGTAGTATTGCGGTGTCATTTTCTTTTATTTTATGCCATAGCAATGAACCATTTCTCTATTGGATTGTAACATGTGATGAAAAGTGGATCTTATGCCACAATTGGCAATGATCAAGTCAGTGGTTGATCGAGAAGAAGCTTCAAAGCACTTTCCAAAGCCAAACTTACACCAAAAAAGGTCATGGTCACTGTTTGGTGGGGTCTGATCCAGTATGCTCACTGAATCCCAGTGAAACCATTCCATCTGAGAAGCATGCTCAGCAAATTAATGAGATGCACTGAAAACTGCAATGTCTGGTACCAGTATTTGGGTTCAACAGAAAGGACCCAATACTCCACGAAAGTGTCTGATCATGTGTGGTACAACCAAAAGCTTTAAAAGTTGAATGAATTGGCAGAAGAAGCCGGGCTTTCAGAAGAAGGTTCCATATGGCTCCAGTGAACTAGATTTTTCAGGGAATGAAGATTTCCTACTGATAATTCAGCCTCCAACAAACTAGCTAGCGGTAGGAAGCCCTCTCCCCCACCCCCACACCCCCAGTCTTCTATCTCTGTCTCTGTGTCTCGGTTCCTGTCTCTCCCTGCTTCTGTCTTCCCTTTTTTTTTGGTAATTTTTCCTTTTTACACTTTTTAAAAAAGGCACAGTTTTTCTCTGGCTCTCAGCTCCACCTTATATCTTGTTAATTATCGCTCTGCTCCTCCCACCCAGGCAGAAGAAGCCAGGCCTTCAGAAGAAGGTTCCACATGGCTCCAGCGAACTAGATTTTTCACGCGGCGTGCAATTGAGCCACATGGTTTTCTATTTTGTGATTTTTTTTTAAAAAAAAGAGCAGTAATTACGATTTTTAAAAATTTTTAAATTTTTTTGTCTTTTTTTCTCTTTTTGTTGTTTCTCTCTCTCTGTTTCATTTTTCTTTTTGGATCTAAGATCACCGTAGCTAAACATCCAAATACTAATAGGGTTAAAATATTCCCCACTATCTACTGAATCTTC